AAACAACTCATATTTACTCATAATTGCAAAACTCGGTATGAATTCACATATCCCACATCGCATATTAAAAAAAGGGAACCGCTTTAGACTCTTATAAATAGGGTGTCAAACTATCAGGTATGATATGCGAAAAACATTAATAATAATAATAATAATAATAATAATAATAATAATAATAATAATAATAATAATAATAAGGGTTCCTCAAAATTCTTATTAAGAGTTCAGTTTGCTTTTAGAATGGTGTGTAAAGGAAATATTGTCAAAGTTGATTCGATCAAGCTAAGGACTGGTAACTACAAATACCAGGTAAGTAAAAGTTCATCTTCAACTACAATACATAAATTGAGAATTAATATACTCAAGTATATGCTTTAAGTTTGAGTATTGATATACTCAATTATGTGCCTATGTGTATAGTGATTTTATGTGAAATTAATGTTAATGTGTATTTATCTTGTCAATTGAGATTTGATATTTGTCCTTGTTATTGGGCATAATATAGCATGTATATTTCATAAGCATGTGCATGCATATGATATAATTAAATACTTATGTCGCATGCACGACATAATAAGGAAAGATTGAACATTTTATTATTTGGCCGCTGCTATTACACCGAGGTCACGAGTCGCGTGAGACATTGCTTCAGGCATGGGAGACGGTTCGGTCGTGACTTATTATTATGTATTGCTCAGTGCCTGGTGAGACATTGCTTCGGGCGTGTGAGGCGGATCGGGCTAAGACATTCCAGAGCCGCGTGAGACATAGCTTCGGACATGTGAGACGATTCGGACTGTAATGTTATGATTATTATGTTATATTGAGGTCTTTCCGGTGCACAGTAATTAGGTCAATGGCCCAAGAAAGAAAGTTTTCGAGAATAAAATTATAAATTAATACGCCTATATATGAGCATTTGCATTTCATGTTGGAATGCATATCAGTTGATGTTGTTTTTTGACATGCATGACTTATTGAGCTCTAGCTCATGTAGTTTATGCATTGTAGGTAAGCATGTTGATATTTGATGATCAGTGTTAAGGCCAGAAAAATTTGATTGATTTGTTGTGACATTTTGAATGCTAAAAACTCATTAAACAAACTGTTAGTCAAGGAAGATGCATCATTGTCTTCCTCATATTGAGTAACAGTATCTTCACAGATAGTAGCATTTTCACAATGTGTAGCAAGAGGATTTCTAGGATCATGATGACCCACCCAGTTGGATGGATATCCAATGAGTTGAAAGCATTTTGCCGGATGAATGGCCAAGATAGCCACAGTGAGTACATTTGGGTCTTTTCCTGTATTTGTAGGTGTTATATTTAGGTGGCTTATTTAGAGAGGGGTGAGTTCTTGCTAGTATGGCAACAAGATCACTTCTAGGATCATGAGGACCCACCCAGATGGTTGGATGTTCAATGAGTTGGAAGCATTTGTCAGAAGAATGGCCAAGATAGCTACAGTGAGTACACTTTGGTCTTTTTTCTCGTCTTTGTACATGTTATACTTAGGTGGCTTATTTGTAGAGGGGTGAGTTCTTGCTAGTATGGCAAGAGAATCACTTGATTTTTTTTGGTATTAGAGAGTTTTCTTTGGCTTTCCCCTTGAAGTAAAAAATGAATATATAGTAAATAAAGATGCAAAGAGGCTGGACAAAAGAAACTGACTTCTCAGAGGAGAATAAGAATCATTCAGTCTAATTAAGAATTTCAAATCGAGTCATTTTTTATGATGTGATCATAGATTCAAAAATATTACAGCACAACGAGTAAAACCCCCACTGCACATTTGAAAATTGGTTTGTAAGTATGTACTCATCCCAAAGATATATGAAATTACTATAGTATTGAGTAATATGAAAGATCTCTTATCAACGGTACTTATGAATATTTCTAGTTAGAGAACCCTAAGACCACTAGAGAAAGATTAATGGATTTGGCTTCATCTCAAACATATTGGGAAACAAAAAAAAAAATAATAAAGACATGCCAATGCCCTTATGCACAAAGTTAAGTAGCCATGATAATACCAAATGGATGGCGAGAACCCAAGCAAGAGAGGCAACAAGATTTTGATTAGGGTTTATGGATAGTTACCGTACCCATTATGAATCGAGCTTGTTTTTCACACTGAGTGCCATAGAGACTGCGCACAACCAGAAAATGTAATTATCGCCATTGAAAACCTCAACAACTATCAGGGCCCCCAAATTATCCTCGCGTGTAAGTAGTAGAGTGATGAAGGATCGTCTGTGGTGTTCAAATTGCTCGCCATCGTTCAGAGTTGTGATCAGAATCGAGAACAAAAAGGAATGCGATCAAATCGAAATCGGAGTTGAGTCAAAAAACAATTTGTGCAGCAGAAATAGAAAAATCAAAAAATAGGATATCAACTAACGATGAATACCGTGATAAGATTCATTATTGATTCAAGTTTTCATGAACAGAGAGAATGAAAGAGAGGAAAGAAAGACTTGCGGCTATATTGACAGAAAGAAAAATGAACAATAATGTTTAGGGCTTACAATGTGAGTATATATATTGTTCTGAACATAACTAAATATGTTATTCTCTAAATGACAATTTTTGCTTAAAGTAAAATAAAAATTTAATCTAATACAAGTTCTAATATAAACTAAACGAGTTCTAAATGAGTTTGAATTTAACTCGCTTATCAAATTAGCTGAGCAAAACTCGAGCATTAACAAAGTTATCCAAAACTCAATCCAATCTCTCAGTAAATCGTAGGTTTAAGTTTCACAGATAAAGATTTACATATATACTCTACCATTAGAATATATAAATTATTTATATTATTTTAAATACATTTAGAGTAAATTACGCACTTCAAAACTTTGTTATACCTAAATTTTATATTTTTATAAGGTCTGATTATGGAATCATTTATCAACTAGATTTCACGAGTATCATTAATTATATTATCGTCCGTTTAATTACAAAATTAGTAATATTAACTTCATATTTTTTTATTTATTTCATTATTGTTTTCTATAGATATATTTTTTTCATACCTTTTTTTATATTTGCTATAAACTTTAACTTTTTATATAAATCTGAAGTTTTGTATTTATATTGCCATCTTGATTTTAGATTATCGTAGTTTAGTTGAACTAGTTTTGATTATTATTTGTAACGTATTAATTCACAAAATAGATATTTACTGATACCTATAAATACATCCAATTTAACCGCCTCAGTTTTTCTCTGGAGCCTTCAGATGACACGACTTATGGAGTCATCCACACTTATTCACAAATAGTGAATTGACACGCGTCCTACAATAAAAACAATTTGGACACGTGTCATTATATTAAACGACGAATGACTCCATAAGAAAACCATCCGATGGCTCCATAAAATTTTTCTTAATTGCCTACCCATGGTTATCATATTTGACTGCTAGTTGATACTATCAGTGATATGCCCGAAAGGTCTTGAACCATTGGACCACTTCTTTCGAACCGGATTCTGCCTCTTCGACTGTGTTGTACCTGCAAAACATGTCGGGGATGGTCCCGGTATGGACACTCTGATGCTCAAGTCAGTGTAATATCCGATATAAAGTAGCAAAATATCGAGATAATGTGTATGTGTTGTGTAAAAGAAAAGAGCATATTCCCTTTTTATACTTGAAGGTGGTTGCCCCAGAAAGACATCTATCACGACCAGGAGTCTTCTCTAAGTCCATCTCTCAACAATGTATTTCACGACCAGGAGTCTTCTCTAAGTCCATCTCTCAACAATGTCTTTCACGACCAGGAGTCTTCTCTAATTCCATCTCTCAACAAGGTGTATCTTATCCAGAACTCCAGAATCCTAGTTAATTTCAACTCCCTTGTTCTGAAGGAATCAAACCCCCTCATTTATACGGAAATGCCACTCACGATGCCCGGCCACCACGCTTAGCAGCTCGGCCGTCCTCATGCTAAGGACTTCAACTATCCCCTAGTCTGAGCCCTCTAAATAGCTACGCCTTGAGTCTCGGTCATCAAATATCCGCCGAGCTCAATACCTAGCTCGACCCTGCCCTTACCTTACTAGGCTCTCCCCTAAGCAACCATACCCTAACTTCAGAGCCTTAAACTTATCCTCCAAGCCCATCCCTTTTAGCAGATAAGTTTAGCTCACCCCTCAATCTCCCCAAACTGCTGAACTCATAAACCTTACTGTCGAGCTTATCCTCTGCCGTGCACTTATGCCCGTACAAGCGACATTATATTATGTCGTATCGTTCAGAAACTGCACAAGTCCATAAGGCATAATCAAGCGGGTCCAGATTTTTTGCTACAGCTACTTTAGCCTATGTCCGACCCATGCATTGGGCTAAACCCGGTATTTTTGCGTACTTGCCCGATAAAAGAATGCCCGGATCATTAGAGGACTAGAAAAACGAGGCCCAACCTAACCCAAAACCGGTCCGGCCCACATATCAGGCCCACACCTTGATAGATTTGCTAAGTAAACAACTCAACCCAAAGAAAAAGGTCTTGCCAATCTTGCTTGATTACGAACATAAAGGTAATAGACCAGCCCCATACACGGAGCACCCCCGTTTCTTAAGAGAAAATTACCACACTCTTGTTATCTTTTGTCCTTAATTACTCTTTAAAATTTTTAATGACAATTATATCCCATAGCAATACATTGCTTTTACTGGAATTTTTATCATTATTACTGGAAAAACCTACAAACATTTGCATTCTCATACTTGACCATGCACGAGTGAGAAGCCCAACAGCATCTAAACTTGATCAAAATACACATCAGCACCAGCCTTTTTGTAGCTTTGGATCACTGATATTCACTTGCACCCTCACTGGACTGATTCAGAACTTCATCTGCACCTTCCACCTACATCAATTTGCAAGACTACTAAATAAGAAAATTACCACCATGTTTGTACTAATTGGCGAAAAGAAAAAAAATATAATAATGAATCTTCAATCATTGCAAGTCAGATTCATTTGCACGAACTTGACTCGACCCATCTGTTTTCGAGATGCCCGGTGTATCAGTGGGGCCCGGTGGAGTCACGAAACCCGTGCCAGGATCAGTTTGCGAAAATTGAAGTACATGCGCGGGGTGGTCCGGCTGGGTTCCGTCCGGGGCCGCTGCTCTTAGCCGATATAATGAAGTTTCCACAGTCAAAATCTGGAATACCGAGAACGAATAATATTGAGATGTATAAGGATTTGATTTGATGATATTCAAAGAGGAATATGAGCATGTAATAGATCATAACCTGCAATTGATGTTTAAGGCTCTTCAAATACTCGATGGCTTCATCCAGCATGGTTGCTTTATCCGACTGACAGTGATCACAGTAGCAAAACATACAAACAACATTTATTAGAGGGACGAGACAAAAATGTTTACAATGGCATAAAATCAATTCGAACTTGGATGCAGCTGAAAATTCCGAACCACGGATCACATTTATCTACTTGATATACTTGCAGTCAATGAATAAACTCAATGTCAGTTTATGAACAAATTAGCTGTTAGAGCATTAACAGATATGTCGATTTATAATCCATTTACCTTACTGCAATTGGGTACAAGTTGTAGGAAAGCATTCATTTTCTCATTGATCCTCCGTCTTCGCCTCTGTTTTTACATATCATAGTCATTGATCCCCAACTATTCTAAGGAAAACAGAAAAGCAAAAAAGCTATGTTTCCACAAGATCCAAATAGGATCAATCTAAAGCTCTCACCTTCTCGCAAAGGTTATGAATTTCCGCAGTTCGTCCCCTCTTAGATCCGTTAATTCCCTTTGCACGGATTGCTTTTTCCTCGATCGCAGATTCGGTTTCAATATGCTGCACACAAACACACACACACACACACACACTAAAATAAAATAAATAAATAAACAAGAAAGAGTGATCTTTCTTACTAAAATGATTTTTTTTACCTCATCCACGAAATCCTTCTCCTCCATACCACCAAATATTCTTGGAGTTTGTCCGGACGAAGCTCTATCTCCACTGTTGCCAGAGCCCACAGAGGAAGAAAAACCGGTAGGGTCAATGGCACCGTCGTTATTTGAGGTTGGAACCCACTTAGCTAAGCTGGCAGTACTCATTCCAATCATCTCATCTTCATCTCCATCCAAGCCAATTTGATTCTCCACGATTTCCTCGGGTGGAATTTCACCATAACTCGTGAATTTAGCCTCGACAGGGTTCGCAGGGCCCCCCAAAAGATCCAGAAAGTTCTGGAAATGTTTCTCGTTTTCCGTACTCGCCATGTCGTAACTAGTATCATCTTGCAGACTCTCGTTTAAAGGATAATAAAACCAAGGGGCCGTTTCGTTTTCCCGGCTAACATCAACCGACCACGGTAAAATATTATTCGAGCTAGACTCCATACCACCGGATTTTCCGATTCTCGAAGCGCTCAAGCTTCCTCCTGATGGGGTGGAAACATTGGATAGCAAAGTGTCGTTCGGGAAAGCAAAGTGGACATCTTCATGTACAACCTCAGCCAAATCCTTCTCACTCCTGCATCAAAATCAACAAGAGTTCAAAAATTACCAACATAAATCTAGCAAGCTTGAATAATAAACATAAATCAACTGTAAGTTGGAGAAGTTGTAAGAACATAAGCTGAAAAAAAGGTGGCCTTAGGCCCTTAGTTACCTAGAAGAAGGATCGGCCGAACACTGTTTTGCTCGGCCCGATTCGAGCTTTTCCACGGCTAATCTCAGAAACTCCGACAGAGGCATTTTTGGGAATTAAATTTAATAACACCACTGCACTAAGTAAGGCCAAGGATTACAACACAGCAGCCAAAAAAAACAATATATACCATTTCCAGTCTAAAACCCATTGATATAATCCTAAGTAGCAACAAACAACATCTCTGAAGAAAACCCACAATGAAATTCTTACAATCATAATAACCATAACAGATAGACATGAAAATTACCTTGAGAAGTACAAAAACAAACCTCGTACATGAGCTCATCAACTTTTTCTTGTTTCAAATCAAATCAAATAAAGAACGAATCTTTCTTCCAAAATTCCCCAAACCCAAATCTTAAAAAGAAGAAAAAAATAACAACTTTTGAGAACTCACCAAAAGAATTTGCTTATGCGTACGCATCACACCACATGTTTCCTTGGAAGCTCACCAATTTATTGAGATACGAAATAGTTTATGTTGTGTTGTGTTGTGTTGTGTTGTGCTGCTGCTGTGTGTGAATATGTAGCTAAAGGCGAGATTATGTGAGGGGGGAGCGTAGAGGTCGGCGGGAAGGCCTTGCCGGCGTACGCGTGGCAAGTTAACGCTCTAGAAGCAGCTGACACACCCTCCTTGCGAAATAAAAAAAAAAGGAATGAGAGATGCTACGGTCTCGTTATTACGGAATCATCGTGTCGGGGTTTGTAACTGTTATATCAACTTTTTTCGAGTTACATCCCAACGACAATGATTTCATAATAAGACCGTAACATTTTCCAGGGGATTGGTTCCGTAACGGACGGTAGGATTTCCTAAAGACAAGGAGATGCTGTGCTACGGTCGCTTGAAGGCACCATGTCGTGGTTTTATTTGATGCCTTTGGATATTGAAAGTTCACAATGACCATTAGATTTGACATAGTAGCACCCACTTAACATGGGATGTAGACCACATAAGTATTTTGACCAACTATGACATAATGAATTATAGCATCATTTATTTAATAGATAACCGAAAATAGACAACAAATTGAGATCTTAATATGAATTTTATAGTAATTTATTAACACAATTAAAAAATATTATGAAAAATAATTTGATTAAATATATTATCATTTATTGTTGTAGGTATTAATTTAATTTTTTTATATCCACTGGGACACCTATAAAAAATTTTATCTTATTTCTTCATTTTTACTTTAAATTTTATTATAGCGGATTTTATTCCTCACGCCATAATTGATTTTTCGTAACATAGCGTATTACAGTAAATTATAATTTTAGTCATGTATGTTTCACTACTTTAATTTTTTCGTCCTTTTTGAATTGTGTTTTTTATTTTCGTCCCGTATGTTTAAAAAAAGATTAAACAAATGTCCTTTTCATACATAAAGGAAATTGGAACATTTTTTTTGCAAAACATAAAGGATTTTTTTGTTGTAAAAGTGACATTTTTGTAACATTTTTCAAATATACAAGACGAAAATAAAAAATATAATTCAAAGAGAATAAAAAAGTTAAAGTAACAAAACATACGGACTAAAATTGTAATATACTCTAGCTTATTATTCTAAGAAACTTTTTAGGATGCCATTTTTATTATAGTGGATTTATTCCTCACGTAACGGCATAACTGATTTCTAGTAAAATAGCTTATTATCCTGATAAACTTTTTGGAATGCCATGATTGTGTATTTTTCTAGGAAAAAAATTAGTACTACTTCCTATTATTAATATATGTCATTAACAGTGGCGAAATCAGCCGGTCATCTTGGGAAGGGCTCAATTTGCCGCGGCACACCACCCCACTCCGGTCATCCCCCGGCGCACCACCCCCACTCCGGCATCGAAAGGGCGCTCAAAGGGCTTTTGTGGACGCTCTCAAAAATTTTCGCAGGATATAAAGAAATACTCTAGAGATTTTTCTAAAAATCAAACTAAGTCCGGAATTAAACTGGTATACTTAAACTGAAGTGTTTTAACTCGAAAAATTCTCAAATTTATGCTAATAAAATCTCAGACTCAATTATAATAATAATCAAGAATTATACCTCCTTTCGAATAGACGAAAAGCTGAAAAAATTGAGAAAACGAAGCCTCGAACGATCGAACTCGTCCTCGACAAATTTGCTCCTTTTGATACTATTTAACGAGAAATTCAAACTCCCGTAATAAATGCTTGGAACTCCGAAAAATATGAAATTTGTCCGTATGGAATCGTGCTTGAATTGTCTACATGCTCCAACTCGATTCTCGTTAAATCGAGGTCACACGCAACCTTACGAAACCCCGCAAAACGGCTTTTTATTCTTCTATTATGCGCACTCGACTTCGAGCTTCTCAAAATAAATGCTCGAAAATTCTAAACGTGAAATAAATTATACGAACGGCTTCTACTGTTCTCGTGCTTTCAAGAAAGCACTCCCGCTAATTTTCAGCACGTCTAACGAGGGCCGACGGTTACCCGAAGTCTAGACATGAAAATGACAATAAAATCACCGCCACTGTTATTTTTCTCTCAACTTCGGGCTACCCAAAATAAATGGTCGGGACCTCAAAATCATAAATCGATGCCACCAACACACTCTCCGCTTCCCGTACTTTCATAAAAGTATTTCTCGGTAATGATCGACTCGGTTTTGAGTCCCGTCGGTATACCGCAAGTCGGCTAATTAACCAACTCAAAACATAATAAAAATGAAAAAATTATTAAATTCTGCTGCTGTTATAGTTCTCCTTGTCCCGAAACCAGGATCCCGTTTCGGGAGGGGCCAATTTGCTTTTAAAAGAAATTTTCACGACAAAATCGGTGGCCATGAAACCGGGGAGGGCCCAACATGCGCGTTTAAAGAAAAATCTTCCAGTTCCAGCGAAATCCTCCACCCCTAGTTAATTTTTTTTTTTTTT